GCGGCAAAATAGAGAACGTCCACCAAGTGGGGTCGGAAAGGTGCAACCTCTTCATTTCTCTCTCACTCCTCTTCTCTACTTTCAGACTTCCTAGGCTTCACTTCTCTACGTGTCTCGTCTCTACTTTCAGACATTCCTATATACTCTTCACTTCTGAACTCTTCTCTTCTCTGCTTTCAGACTTACCAACTCTTCACTTCTCTACTCTTCCCTTCTCTACTTTCAGACTTCCCTACCCTTTACTTCTCTACTTTCTTCACTTCCCTACTTTCAGACTTCCCTGATCGTCTCTTTCTACTTTCTTCGCCGCTCTAGTCTTCAGACTTCCGTGCTCTTCACTTCTCTACTTGCTTCCTTCGCCGCTTTTTTTTTACATCTCTACTGTCTTCTTCTCTATTGCCACCACTGCATCACGACTTTGATATCGCGGAAGATTCACTTCTAAATCCCTTTTATCACATCGTATGACGTCATATTGCGTATAGCCCGAATGGCAAACAACAGGTACACCAATGCCTAGACTTGTGACGCGTCATCCTGGGAACAGAGACCATGCCATATCATGACATATCTCAACATTTCATACATGTCCAATGCAGCTACATGCCATGGGAAACATATGCAATTTCAATAGGAAACACGTGGTTGTGGCACAAATCAATCCATATACAACATCACATATCACAAACAAAATCGTCACAACACAATACCGTCTCATACCATGGCATACCATATCATTTCAGGCCATATTCTATCTCAACTCACCATCCTGAAATGCGCTGATTCGTATTTTGTCATGTTCTGCGCTGCTGTGTTTTAAGAATCCGTATATCAGCGTCTACAAGTCTCTTCATATGCCTGCTTTGGATGTCTACTGCAATCCTGCGCGCGCCTGTAAAGGCTGACGTTGCTTGGTGGTCAGCGCTGCTATTCTCATCCACGATGGCATCTGCATTCATGGGGTTGATGGGGCTCTATAGGTGAAAATTGAGAATCCTGAAGCGCCTGAACCACAGCCAAAACCTTTGTGGAAAATGCCTTGCAACGAGAACATATGGATTCCCAACATGCCTCGCAGTAGATGCGATGCCAGAATAACACTCTTATCACCTCTTATCGAGTGGTTTTGCCGTTATGCACCTGCACGTGGCTACTAATCCAATGCCAAATGTTTCCTTACTTAGAGCAACAATCTAGTCTTAGATGCCTCTTTTAAGCAAAACCTACCACGGACAGATTTGTCCCTTGTACAAAGCTGCGTTCTCAACCTTTTCATGCCTTGGATGGAGTCTATGACTCATCCTTTGCGTGGATGCTTTCCAGGCTTGCTGCATCGCATTGAAAGAATATGCATTGTGTGTGTGTGTACGCAGGTCGCTTACAAATGTCTCCGCGCCTGATTGAAGGCAAGTTTTGCAGGGTCCCCCCATGGAAAAATCGTAAGTGGTGACCAGGATTTCTGAGGCCGCTGCAAACTATTGCATCCAAGTAAACCATGGCATATATCATGAAAATTGTGCGTGATGATATAATGTGTATTTAAACCAGTAGTGCCGCACAAGGCGGCGGCGGAAGTTTCAAAGATAGGAAACTATAGGAGAGGTGAGTTGTTGTGATGCATGGATGGCAGAGCGAATCCACTGATGGACCGAAAGGTGGTTGTGATTTTTGGAATGGTTGCAGCGGCCACCTCACCCACAACTGCAGGATGTAATGCAGTGTAGCGAAGTGCAATGTAATTGTAGTTGTAGTGTAGTTGATGTTATTGAAGTTGTAATGTAGTAGTTGTAGTTGTAGTTGTAGTTGCAGCAGTTGCAGCAGCAGCAGGAGGAGGACGAAGAGGAGGAGGAGGAAGAGGAGGAGGACGAAGAGGAGTAGTAGTAGCAGTAGCAGTAGCAGTAGCAGAAGCAGAAGCAGAAGCAGAAGCAGAAGCAGTAGCAGTAGCAGTAGCAGTAGCAGTAGCAGTAGTAGTAGTAGTAGTAGCAGTAGTAGTAGTAGTAGCAGTAGTAGTAGTAGTAGGAGGAGGAGGAGTAGTAGTAGTAGTAGTCGTAGTCGTCGTCATCGTCGTCGTCGTAGTAGAAGTGCAGTGGTAGTGGTAATGGTAATAGTGGTAGTCGCAGTAGTAGTAGTAGTCGTAGTAGTCGTAGCAGTGGTAGTAGTCGTAGTCGTAGCAGTGGTAGTAGTCGTAGTCAAAGCAGTGGTAGTAGTCGTAGTCGTAGTCGTAGTCGTAGTCGTCGTCGTAGTAGTAGTAGTCGTAGTAGTAGTAGTAGTGGTAGTAGTAGTAGTAGTAGTAGTAGTAGTTATAGTAGTAGTAGTAGTAGTAGTCGTCGTCGTAGTAGTAGTAGCAGGAGTAGTAGTAGTAGCAGCAGCAGCAGTAGCAGTAGCAGTAGCAGTAGCAGTAGCAGTAGCAGTAGCAGTAGCAGTAGCAGTAGTAGTAGTAGTAGTAGTAGTAGTAGTAGTAGTAGTAGTAGTAGTAGTAAGTAGTCGAAGGAAGTTTAGA